GCAGACAAAAGTTTACAACAACTCTGGTCACGCCTGAATGTCCTATCTAAACGAGTGGAAGAAATTGGGAAATCCATCGAGCTTATCCAACGCTACAGCTATCAGTACAACGTTAAGATCGTCGGTCTCCCTGAAATAAGAGCGAGTGAGTCAGACTCCGATACAACTACATTATGTAAGCCTCTTTCAAGCTGCAGGAGTTTAAATTTTGATTCAGGATATCGATATCGCTCATCGTATTCCCACCAGAAACGCCACTCCTGGACCGAGTCCAGTCGTTTGCAAGTTCACAAGAAGGATTGCTAAAGAGAAGGTCATGAATGTACGGAAAGATGCATGATTGGCTTACCTACCGATTGCACACTAGAGAACGTAAAGCTTTTTGGTCATCTAACTCCGCAAGTACAACAGCTCCTCGCCGATACGAAAAAATTTCAAACTCGTAATGGCTTCAGGTTTTGTTGGTGCAAGAACTTATATCTATTTACGGCAAACCGAAGACTCTCGCCCTATCAAGCTCAAAACCCTTGACGACCTTGAAAGATTTGCACGGCAAGAGAACCTACCTTTACGCGAAGTAATCTGAATTCTGAACCTTGAGTAACCTTATTTGTAATTTAATTTGCTACTTCTATGACGGCTGACGAGACACCCCCTTCAATCCCTCCTCCCTTTTAATCACTTGGATGATAGTTCCTTTAATTTAGGGATCTATGAATTTTCTCATGGTCCCCGAGTTACGATGCCGACCGTCTTGAAACGTTATTATTCAATCCTGTCGAAAGGCCCGAATTATTTCATCCCCTTTCTAGTAATCTGAATCCCGTCTCTAACTATCACTCGCCTGCCCAATAGTGGCTACATGGTTGAGGAAGATCTGAACAATCGAGTAGCTTCTTTTGGCGACAAAACGAACTTTTCTATTTTACATTTAAACACTCGAGACTTAATGAGAAATTTCCATCAACTTAATTTATTGCTGAGAAACCTCGATACGCCGTTCTCTGTGATTGGTGTGTCAGAAACTTGGCTAACTGATTGCACTGCAGAGCTTGTAAACATCACAGGATACAATTTTGTCTCCAACCATCGTAAATCGAAAACAGGCGGTGGTGTTGGAATTTATTTACAAAACGGCCTTGAATTCAAACTTCTCGAAGAATGCAAATTTTCAGATCCAGATGTAATTGAATCACTGTTCTTAGAAATTATCGTTCCCCANTTTTAGTGGCATTATACTAAATGATTTATCTGACCACTTACCTGTTTTTGCATATATTAACGACGCAATCCTAACGCGCAGCACAGAAAGGAAAATTATGATGCGCACATTCAATAACGATAATTTGCAAAAATTCAACGAGAACCTTTCAAACGTAAAATGGTCCTCATTTCGCAACATGGAAGATCCCAATGAGGCCTATAATGATTTTATTGAAGAATACTCCAGCGTCTACAATGCCTGTTTTCCCTTAAAGGTTTTCAAAGGTAAAAAGGTGAACACGTTCTTTTCCCCATGGCTTAGCCCTGGACTTCTGAAATCAGTTAATAAGAAGAACAGACTCTACAAAAAGCTCGTCACCTCGCCCTCCATATCTTCTGAAACGAAGTATAAAGCCTACAAAAACAAACTCACCCATCTCATTCGCATTGCCAGAAAAAATACTATGACTCCAAATTTGAGAATGCCAGAAATGGCCTCAAAACAACTTAGAAATTGTTAAACGAGGTTATCAGCAAGCTTAAAAGTAAGTCATCTCTTCCCACATCATTTAAATCTGAAGGCAGAACATTAACGGATCCAATGGAGATCGCTGACAGATTCTGCAAATACTTTACAAACATTGGTCCCAACCTAGCTAGATCTATACCCAGTGTGAATCCTTCTTTTCGTTCTTATCTCGGTTACAACAAACATCCCTCCATTAACTCAAAGCCCACCACAACTAGTGAACTGGAGAGCATTTGTAGCGTGTTCGCTTCAAAGAAAGCTCCTGGCTCTGACAGTATCCCAATGCATGTCATTAAATATTCATTATACCTTATTTCTGCTCCTTTGGCACATATCATCATTATATCTTTAATAATAAAAGGCATTTTCCCGGACAAACTTAAAATCGCTAAAATCATTCCCACCTTCAAAGCAGAGGATCCTAGCGTTTTTGTAAACTACAGACCCATTTCTTTGTTGTCTAATTTTCCCAAATTTTTCGAAAAAGTCATACAATCGCTTAGTAGAATTTGCCGAAAAACACGATATACTATACCGCTGTCAGTTCGGATTTTGGAAAAATCACTCAACATCGCACGCGCTAATTCATTTGGTAAACAAAATTGCATCTGCAATCGACTAACACCAAACAACGGTAGGTGTTTTCCTAGATCTTTCCAAAGCATTCGACACTCTCGACTACCAAATCTTGTTTGCCAAATTGGAGCACTATGGTTGATATGGCTCTGCAGTGGTTTAAACGTGACGTGGCTCTGCAGTGGTTTAAAAACTACTTTTCTTTCCGCCAGCAATTTGTCCAATTCAATCAAGCTTGCTCTCCGATGCAAACCATCAAGTGTGGTGTCCCTCAAGGTTCGATTTTAGGCCCACTATTGTTTATTCTATACATTAATGACCTTCCTAATGCCTCTGAATTATCAGACCCTCTACTTTTCGCTGATGACACCAGTATCTTTTATTCTCACTCAAATCTAAATTGCTTAGAATCTAGACTAATGACCAACCAGGCACTTTTAAATGCGCTCGTGCACGATGCAAAACGTGTCCTTTCATTCACAACACTGATAAAATATCGGGACCTAAACGATCCATTAAGATCACCGATCACTTCACGTGCACCTCCGCCAATGTAATCTATTGCATAACTTGCACTTATTGCAAAAAGATATACATCGGCGAAACAGGCAGAAGACTAGGTGACCGATTCCGAGAACACCTTCGAGACGTGGAAAGGAATGACAAGGACACATCGAAACCAGTCGCTAGACATTTTAATTTACCTAATCATTCTAAGCAACATATGGCAATCTGCGGTCTTTCCTTACACTTAGGTAACACGGAAAGCCGTAAAAATCTTGAACAAAAGCTCATCTTTCAAACCGGCAGTCTAAATCCCACAGGGATCAACGAACGCTTTTCATTCCACTAATTTATTCTTGTTTTTCTCGTTGCCATGTTCCCACAAATAACGTCTGCCTTTCAAAGCACACACAACCCACAATTCCTCTATTCGCTCCGACGAAGGGCTAACGCTCGAAACGTTAGCTTTTGTAATGGTTACGGTGGCCAATTTACCACTTCAACTTTGTTGATATATCCAAGCTATTTCATTACTCCCACCGACGCAGCCCCAAACAGTTTCTTTCGAAACTATCAGCCTTTAGACAGAAATACATGAGGTTTGAAAAAATTATATAAGCATAAACATTATTAATCCACAACCAATACTAGATTCCAAAACACAGAATATCTTTTAGAGATTGATTTGTGCGACAAATGGAGACTCCAATGGAGTACACCCGTGATATCATATTAATTTAACAGATCCATCAAACCTATCTGTAACCAAAAATAATTCTATTTTTCAGTGAAAGAAGAATAAGAATGAAAGGTTTGGTATGTCCAATTTTACTGTTTAACTCCAAATTTGAGTAAAACAATTCTCATTCAACCATGCCTCAATACATTTAAACGTTTTAGAATATTGAACTTGCCCCTAGCTCTGTAAAATCAACCAACCTTCCTTTCTGTGAATCATTGGTTATTACAACTTCATTTTTGAGAAAAATATAAGAACGAAAAAATACCTTTGGCCACAAGTATTCCATACACTTCCACTCTCAGAACTTTCCAAACACGATAATCTGTTGGCTGAAAGCGGATAAACTTTGCACTTGCAAATTCCTGTAGACTGTTTTTCACAATACCATTTTTATTTGAGTTTCCGGGAAAGACCTGCGGTTTGTGGTGAAAAAAACATTAAATTATTGTTAAGCACTAACAATTTCTTAATCAAATAACTGCATCGTTAACTACTGTAAGTATCAGTTATTCATTGAACAGTTATTTTGCGCTGTTACATAATAATTATGTAACTAACCAATAAACCATGAGCTCTTGACCTGTGTATGAGGACAAGTTTCTGATGTCCCCCTCCATTAACTATGTGTCCAAACACATGATCAAAATAAGAATTAATTTTTGTATTAATATTATGTGACTGTGCCTTAGAAGTTGAAACAACATTTCTAGTAGTACAAGTTTTGCGCAGCTACTTCACCTATCAAAATATAAGAAGCACTTTAAGATGAATTTGGTATCCCTGTGTGGAGCACTGGCAGTAATATATCCCGCAGGTGCACTGTTTTTAAACATCTCATTGTTTTTTGTGAATACAAGTAAATCCCATTACCTAGCTAGGTTGTAATCGCTATGGCTGTATTAAGCCCTCATGATTTGAAACTATGAATAACTACAGAATGTTGATACCTCACTGGCATTACATATTTGTATCATGCGCACAAATTTTTGTTTCTCCTGGAGGGAACAGTGCTAACCTGAATAAACCAGTAACAATTTTGGGTCCGCTTGAAAGAGAATTCAGGCTGAATAACGAAAACGTGAATGCCTCTCTCGTATCCCTTCTCTCGACTCAAAAACATTGGGTGCTCCAAGTGCTAATTTGTTTTTGATACATAAAAGAAATAACCTTTACATACACCAACCTTGTCATAAGCAGAAAAAGTTGTACCATCCAAAGACAAATGAATCTTGTATTCAGTTGTCCATTCTTTGGAACCGTAACTTCCTTGAGTAGCTATAGCACAGATAAAATGCTCATACAGCAGGTCAATTTGTAAGAAGTCAGCAGGATTAGTCGTAGTCTTTGGTGCCCAACCCCGTTTATCTGCATTCAGGCGACCAAAAAAAGGCTTATATAAATGATTAAAAAACGATGTGGCTGTGAAGCTGCTGCTTGGAATTGTACCGCCACTGGCAAGACCAATGGCCTCCATGTTACAAACTGCAAGATACAATCAAAATCAGCTTTCACTCATGAATCACGTGAAATGGGTTTTAAATACAAATATAATCAAAAAGAAAAAAACATCACAACATATTTAAGGAGTTGTTGTTAAGTGAAAAGCACATGTGCTTTACAAATAGATCCCAATGCAATGTGCATAATTATGGTAACAATTATATAAGAAACAGTCGGTGAACTGTTTGGAGGTAAAGACACTAATTATACACGCAAATTTGCTAGGTCTTGAAGATTTGGTTTAAGATCTCTGATGTATCACAATTCAATTATCAAATAGTCCAATATGCTTATGCTTTTCCATAGGATGCCTTGATTTAAAAGTTGGTGTGTGAATTAAGCTGCCATAGTTTGCATTGCACAAACACATTTCAGTAAATAAAAAATGTCTAGTTGGTTAATTAATGATTTGGCTTTTTCGTCAAAATTTAATATCTTCAAAGTTTTAGGTAGCAGGTATTCACAACTTCTTTCAAGAGAAACAGAGTATCTCGGACTGCACAACAATGCAGGTCATAGATCATAAGAATCACAAAACATTACATTCCTTACTCACTTGACTCTTGTTTCACTCCAAATATCTCTGTTCTCATACACACCCCACCCTGGTGTGTTTGTGGAATAAATCGCAGATATTTTGTTAACACTCCATAAACAATATGCTTAACATTTGAGCTTCTATCATCATTTCCTTCAAATACCTAGAAAAATCGTAAATTACCATTTCCATTATAATATCCATTTTTTCCATGTTGATGGTCTTAAACAATCTTTGAACTAATTTTTATAAGACAACTGGTAAAACAGCCTTCTCGACATCCTTTCTGTGAGACGATTCTTCTAATTCTATAAACACAGTTGAATAGACCGCTTTCATAAATGGCTGCCGGATTAATATTCTTTTGTTTAAATTTAAATTAGCCCTACTAGCCTCATTCTCCAGTACAAAATTCAAAAGAATACATTATCTCAAGCGAGGCCAATAGAGCTAATTTAAATTTAACCAAAAGAATATTTATATGGCAGCCATTTATGAAAGTGGTCTATGGGAGCAGGGAATGACCAGCTCCAAACCTAAAAGCAATACGAATTAGTTTTGGCTTGGATGAACAATGCATGTATATAGTTCACATGGAAGGAACAATACCATTTTTGTAATTGCACGAAGGCGAAACAAAGACTTTGGAAATTTTGACACCAGTGGCTGTACTTTTCCTTTGTCCCTATAATTTATTCTGTCTACACCTTTTTAATAGAAAACAAAAAGTTTATAAAGTTGTTACATATTTTCAAATTGTAATTTTTTTGAAAAAGAGTGTATATAATTATATAATTATATATGTGACCTCTCACGCGAAAATGTTCCTAACGGTAGCCGTTCGAACAGTGAACGGAACGGCAAGCGAACGGGTGACGAACGGCTTGGAAAGCCATTCGAAACGGATACTATGAATGGATGAACGGCTAATCAAAATTTTCGAACGGATGACGTCAAACGGATGAACGGCTAGTGAAAAAATTAGAACGGACGAGGTTGAACGGGTGAACGGCTAGTGAAAATTTTCGAACGGATGAACGGCTAATGAAAATTATTGAAGGGATGAAAGGCTAATTTTTCGAACACTGAGATAAGCCTCACAGATGAGATCAAATGGATAAACGGCTAAGCGGTCGAACAAGTGATGGCCAGTAGAAATTATTTGAACAGATGGTTTCGTCAAAACGAATGCCGACAAAGGCGTCCCAAGCTCTTGTCTTGAGCCAAAGCGAAGGATTATTTCATGAAAGCGTCACGCGTTGGGTGACGCGGTGTTAAGTAACGCAAGGTATTTGACACAATCTGTGAAAAGATAACTTGAAACGAGTCGAAACTCA